GGTTTCTTGCCATGCTGCGGACGCAAGCTTCAGACGAAGAAGTGAATGATGTGTGCTCCCGGCGCCTATTTATTCTACTGGTGGTGGATGAGGAGATACCCCCTGACAATGTAAAGCGCTTTGAGTGCCTAGAAAAGCGCTATATAAATGTAATGAATTATTATTATTATTATTATCATTGTAGGTACGACGGCTAATCAAAATGGTACTTGCGCTTATCCGGATTGTTCAAAATTGCTTAAAACTAAAAGATTACGTTCTCTCGCGCGAACTCATTCGGGAGTGGCGACTTTCCACGTATTCCCACCTTCTGAGCCTGCTCGCCTGAAGTTATAGTTGATTGCTTTTCGGCTGGATATCAACACACCTGTTAACGTAAACTACGCCAGAGCGCGTACACACCTCACGCACCGGATGCCGTGCGCGCGCACAAAGCAGTTGGACATAGTGCTGTATTAGAGGTAAAATATGATATAAATACTGTTCGGTTTCTGGCACAAACCGATCGTTTCGTGTCTTAGGACATCAATGTGTCGTCACGAGCCGCAGGGTTTAATTTGGATTTGTCTGTGTGTGTTTTTTTTACTCTCATAGATTTTGTTACCATTGCCATGCATTATACGACTGACAGACTGCAACAGTTCTACAGACAATCATCATTTGTGTTCTACTGAAGAAACAAAGTCACCTACATCTTGGATGCCCTGGGGGTAAGCAGATAAACATCACATTTTCATTTTTGGGTGAACTGTCCCTTTAACCGTATCCGTCTCTGCACTACATTACCCAGAATCCCTCTCGCGGTGGGAGCGCGCGCCGCGGAATGCTGCTCGGAAAAAAAGTTCCTCAGAGATGGAGCGGACGCTGAGGCGCTGATATCTGCACTTTTACACATGATATTAATCGCGAAAAGGAGATTAATTTGACGCGGACCCGCCAAGAACTTCGCCCTCTAACATATTCGCGCGGATTTAAAACTTTTACGGATCGATTTCGCGAACTTTTTGATTAGTTCTTGTCTCCGGGTGAAAATGCCGCAGCCCGTTCGCGCTGTGAGCTTCGTGCTGCTCGTGTTTCACGTTACGGGATTTATTCGCTCGGAACCGGAGCCGTGTCCGTCTCGGTGCTCGTGTGCGGGATCTGTGGCGGACTGCAGCGGCTTGAAGCGCGGCGGGATCTCGGAGCGTCTGCCCGCGCGGATCGCGCGTCTGTGAGTGTTTTTACCTCAGATCCTTTGTGTGTCTAAACATCCAGCTAAACATTCGCTTTCATAGATTCAGCTGCAGCTACACACGAGGAAAAACACACAGCGGAGAAAACCATGACTGAAGCGTTAGTGAACTGAAAAACAGCCAAAACAAACACGACTGAACGTGTAAATAGAAGCTAGCTAACGCTAGTCACACACACGATGTCGAGTTAGTTTGATTCTGCTTTGTTTTGTTTTGTGTGTGTGTGTTTAAAGGCCCTAAATCTAAACAAAACCACAAATTCCAAATATTTTCTCATGTTCTGTGTTGAAAACGATACAAATTCTTGTAGGAAGAGAAACGAAATCATGTTTTGATCAACATTATATTATATACAAGTTGATTTTGTGACTAAAAAAATAAAATCAGTGGTTGTCATTGGTCAAAACACTCTAAAATGATTTTTCAAAGTTATAAATGAATATTTTTGGACATGTTTTTGTTGAAAATTAACATAAATAAATAGTTATTTATTTTTGACACGTGTGTTGATTTATTTATGTCCCGTCTTTTGGAAATAATGTTTATTTTTTATTTTTGGACGTTTTTTTCTTAATATTTATTCATTATTTAACTTTTTTTTTTTTTTTTTTTTAAAGAGTTTTTTTTTTTTTTTGGCGTTTTTTTTTTAATTTTTTTTTATTTTTTAACTTTTTTTTTTTTTTTTTTTTTAAGTAGTTATTTTTACTTTTGGACACTTTTTTTGTTTTTTTTTACATGTTTTTTATTGGAAATTATTTATTTTTATTTTTGATTGGAGTTTTTCTACTTTCTTTGTATTTCTTTGTGATTGTTTGTGAAATTTATTTGGAATTTAAAATCCAAATATATTGATGATCTGTGTTGTAAATAGACAAACTCTTTGTGGAAAGAGAAATTAAATCATATTTTGAGCAACAAATAATGAGAACAAAAAAAAAACATGTTCATAAATAAATAGTTTCCAACAAAAAACATTCCAAAAATACGATCAAATAATTTGACAAAATAAATAAGTGTTAGTCATTTATGTCAAAACACACAAAAAAATGATTCTTCGAAGTTGTAAATAAAAACAAGATTATTTAAGTTTTTCTAGTTCAAAATGTCATGTTAAATGAATGCGTTGCTTGCCATTTCTTTGTGAAATTTACTAGCAATTTTTGTAAAAATTTAAATTGCATTGCGTTCACAAAGAGTGGAATGAAGTGATCGTCTTGTAAGAGACTCCGGCTCCTTCGAGATGTTGGTTTGAAGGAGAACGAGAGTCCTCGGGGCTTCCAGGGGTTCAGGAGGTGATGCTAATTTATGAGCAGCTCTGCAGCACGTTCACGCATTAAACTGCCTGAGCTTTTGTTTTCCCCGGGCCCATTATTTCTGCTGAATTAGCAGCTAAACCCAACCAGAGATGGAAGCAATTAGGAGCCGATGTGTAGAAAGAGAGAGGAGAGAGGGAGGCCTGAAGTTTTTGGCTGTGGAGGGCTCTCGCTGCCAGAATGGAATAATAGAAGGAAAAAGCTGTTCATGATTTACATCTGGAGAGAGCCGAGGGTTTTTTCAGTGCTGTGGAGAGTTTGAGACGGCAGCTGCTGTTTTACACCACTTTAGTTTCATAGTTAAGCTCTGAACCCACGCACACCTTTTACTCCGTCTTTAATTGATCAGTCAGTATTAATATAAGTGGAAAAACATGCTAAAAAATAGATTTAATACCAGCATTACCAAAAGGTATCGCGTGTGTGTGTTTTTGACATGTTTTATTTTGGAAAATAAAATAAATAAATAGTTATTCTTTTTTTTTTTTTTTTTTGGACTTTTTTTGTTGAAAATTAAAATAAATAAATAGTTATTTATTTTATTTTGGACATTTTTTGGGTTGGAAATTAATAATATTTGACACATTTTTGTTGGTATTTATTTATTTATTTTGGAAATAATTTATTTATTTTTATTTTTGGACACTTTTTTTGGAATTTATAATTTTGTTTAGTACATGTTTTTTTATTAGAAATTATTGATTTTTATTTTTGGACGTACTTTGTTGGAAATTGCTTATTTATGTTTATTTTTAGACTTTTTTGTAAAGTATTTAATATTATGTTTGGGACAAGTTTTTGTGGGAAATGATTATCTATCTATCTATCTCTCTATCTATCTATCTATCTATCTATCTATCTGTCTATCTATCTACCCACCCACCCATCCATCCATCCATCCATCCATCTACCTACCTACCTACCTACCTACCTATCTATCCATCTATCCTACCTACCTACCTACTATCTATCTACCTATCTACCTACCTACTATCCATATCTATCCATCTATCCATCTATCTATCTACCTACCTACCTACCTACCTACTATCCATCTATCCATCTATCCATCTACCTACCTACCTACCTACCTACCTACTATCTATCTACCTACCTACTATCCATCTATCTATCTATCCATCTACCTACCTACCTACTATCTATCTATCTATCTATCTATCTACCTACCTACCTACCTAC